TCCATGCCTGACGAAGAAATGCCTTGGGCCACTTTAAAGCCATCTTGGCCGCGGTAATAGTTGGATAGGGCCCGCACATATAAGTAGGAAGGATCTTCCTCGTGTTTCTGAGCAAACCGCACAAGGGCACGGTTGACCTCCTCAGGTTGTTGCGGGGCTCGGGCCTCGCCAAAAATGAATGCAACAGGGGCGCAATCAGGAAAAGATCGCGCTGTCGACGCCAGACACCGTTCCGCCGCTGCAAAGTCTCGCTCCTCCAAAAACCGTTGTCCATTTTCGATCGCCTTACTTCCCTCCTCTGCATTCAGGTAAAGTTCGTGTACGTGTCTTATTTCTTCTTTGGATGCGCCAGAACTCTTTAGCGCCTCGACGCCTTCATTTAGTCTCTGCGCAACCTCCTGAAAACGCCCTAAGTTGCAGTAAGCATTGTGAAGACGTGAGTAGGCCTTGGAAAACGTTTTGTCGACCGTGATTGCTGCCTCAGCGTCTTGGGCGGCAGCCTCAAAGTCGCCCTTTTTAAAGTGGGCCGCACTACGATTCGAAAATAGAGCCGGCTCTTTTGGATTGACCTCAATTGCCTGAGTGTAACGCAGAATGGCAGTGTCGAAGCTGCCGGCCTTAAACGCCTTATTTCCCTCCTCCCGGAGTTCCGTCCACTGCGCAGAATTCTCACCCGTAATGCCGCCCATCGGGAGTATAAGAATGATGAAAATGAAATGGGGAAAAGAAACGGGGTGAATATTTCGTCTCCCTCAGTGTTAATCCCTTCTAATTTTAACCTTTTAAACCTTACTTAATATTAAGTGCTTTTTTCCCCCTACTGTGGTAAACAAGCTCCTGAAGGCCCCGCTATTTCCTCGCGGCAAAACTCATACAAAGACAAATATGCACATTGCATTATCAATTAGAAAGAAAAACGCGGAATTAAAAATAGCAAAACAGATGTATGCATGCACAGGGAAGAACTCAACGGTGCAGCTGCTGTTGCAATGGCCATCACCACATTCCTTTTTATCCTCCACTTTATCTCATAAAATAAATTCAACCGTTATATTCCATGCATTATTTTATGAGAAATTGAAATAATAGTCGTAATTCATGTATATATAGAAACATACGTCAATGCACACAAAATTATACGCATATGCATATACGCATTTAGTATTAAACGCGTGACTAGGAGCAGATGGATCCAACAACTAACCTACAAATAAGGCGCAACCTCCCAAAGACGCAGAAGTCCTTCAATGATAGCTTTAGCATGTTGTTATTATTGTTGTTTTTGCTTTTACTCCTCTTTATTTTCAGGTGGGCTTGCTCTCTGGCGCCTTTTTACTCGCTTTGGGAGCTCTGAGATGTGCCAAGGAAAGAAATTTTTCTCTCAAAAATTCAGGTTGACCGGGGCCGGGAAAAAACGAATGGGGTATCCCAAATTTCGGTTTGTTTGTTGTTGTTGTTGTTGTTTTTTGGGTTGCTTGGGGGCTTCCTCGCCCCCAGCACACGTTTAGCGCATCCAATATGATACATTGTATTCTTTCCAGCGCCAGGTTCTCCGTCAGATTCAAACACCGAGACCTTTTAACCCCCAGCGCCCTTCAATGGCCCTACAAATTACATTCACCTCAATTTTATTTTAATTCCAACAAAAAAATTATACGAAGACTACGCAGAAAGCGTCATGCAGACGTCAGCAATAAACATGTTGCTGGGTGTCACCATGCATCATCATGTTAAACTCTTAAAAAACAGATCGTGTAAAATTTCTTTTCTCGCCCGAACAACCCCGTCACGGCACAAGTCATTGACGGCAAATGATATCCCAAATGTCATTGCACCTATTGACCAGCCAAAAGGCATTTTCCTGTACAGGGAAGCATAGAATCCAGGTTTCATAAATATATTTTTAAGATCGCCCAACCCCGAGTACACAATTTGCTCAACCTGCCGCTGTCGCTTGGCAACATTAAGAGGATACGTCGTGATTTGGCCAGCGACCCCGGCACACATGCCGGCAAGAAGCCGCTGACCAAAGGTTTCACATTCATATCTCTCCTTGATGAATTCATATGTGGCAAACCCTATGCCTGCAAGAGGACAAATGCCCATGATGGCGAGAGAGCAGCCCTCCCAAAGCGAGTGTAAGCCCTTCTTTCGTGCCATATCACGGAGTATCCAGTAGTATGATTGAGATACCGGCGAAAGTCTATTTGTAGCAGCATTGGCACGCACAAGATCAAGTGGATATAAGATGGCTGTTGCCAATGAAGCCGCCGATCCACCCGCAAGAAAATTAGTAGCAGGTGAAGGCGTTACAGAGTACAAAAGTCGTTCCGCGGCTGTTTGAAAGACATCAAAGAAACAATAGGTAAGCGCCCCGTAGGGAATGACTCTCATCATAGTTATTCCACTGCTCTGCCACATATTTGGTTTCTCAGCTAACATATCACCTATCAACGCAAAACCCTGACGTCCAAACGTATGAGGATCAGATGCGCTCATACTCACTTGATAAATAATTTTTAAGTGATCAAATGGTATAGTCCAAAATTTTGCCACTCCAGCTGCTACCCCACCACATACAAGTGCCTCAGGAAGTGTCACCAAGTACTCTCGATGAGAATACTGAGCAGCTTTCTCTTCATACTCTCGAATACGCCGCCTAACAATATCATTGACGGTGAAGGCCGTGGCGACGGCAATCGGCCCCTTGATCCAATTCATCTGAAGTCCCTTATACCAGCCTTGAAAAACACCTTCTTCCTTATAAATTGTCCAGAGGGCGTGAAAAACGCCACGGTAACGACCAGGAGTCACCTGCATACGCCGACGCACAATGTCCAAAGGGTAAGTGGCGGACTGAGCAATAAGACCAGCCAATCCGCCGGCCACCATTCGCTCATGTACAGGGATTGCCTTTTCCGAGGGAAGATTATGCCATTGAACAATATGGCTTTTCAGCGTTTCAAAAACAGCAAAACTGCATCCAGCATACGGCATAATGCCCACAAGTGTAGGCAACAAACCAGAGTAGAGCGACTTCCAGCCATGTGATCCCACTAGCATTTTGTATGCAATGCGATAGCTTGGAGGCTTTTCACCAGTGGAGCTGTGAAATGCTAGTCGAGCCCGCATCAAATCCAAGGGGTAAGTGAAGGCAGTTGCTGTCGCCCCAGCAAGAGATCCGCCTACGAAACGTGCTGTTACGGCTAAACGCTCATCTTCGGCTCCGTCTACTCCTTGAGAGTTTGCCAAATAGAGAAACCCACTGTGGTAGTAGTCAAAAGAAGCAAAAGTAATGGCAGCATAAGGCACCACACGCATCATCATCGCACCATTTCCAATCCAGAGTCCCAAAAGACCGTGATTATGCACCGTCTCCACACCTAAGACCACTGCATTACGAAGTGTAAACCGTCTCCCTGGATCAACCTGAAAAATAATCTTCACCCTATCCCCTGGCGCTATCACCGTTTTGCTAACTGCACCTGCAATACCACCTGCTGCGAACCCCTCCAAAAAACGCACAACACTTTGAGCAAAGCGATGGGTACGGCTGGGCTGTTCAGGTACATCTGGAACAGTACACTCAATAAAGCGCTCAAAGCCAAATTGTTCCTCGCTCAAAGAGGTAAAACGCTTCTGATTTTCCTCACAAAAAAGCACCCATTGCGCTTCGGTCAAGCCTCCAATTTTACCCTGGTCAAAACGTTCCACAAGATCGTAAATCCGCTCAACTGGAAGTGGAATTAACGGTGCTATTTGCCTCACAATCACATCAATCGGAATAAACGGAGATGCTGCTCCCGTAGTGGTATTAAACGGCGCTTCATCTGTATCTTTACCCACCATCGAATGCAAACTAAAGAAGAAAAAAAAAAAAAAAAAAACAAGAAGCCGTCAGATAAATCCTCGTAACACACACAGACATAAATTCATCAAGGCCAATGGATTCAGCGAGGTACTTCCACACGAAGAAAAATATGAGAAAATAAATAACAATAAAAGTATTTTCCTGATTTTTCTATTTTCCTCCCCCTTTCTTGTTTTTATTATTATTATTTTACGTGCCCCTCACAGCCTCTTGTATGAGAACAGAAATGCTCAGGGAACACCGCAAAAATGAGCTAAGCCCTTTTTTGAGTCTGAACAAGAAGAACTATATGTCGCAAGGGGACCAACGCAAAAAAAAAAAAAAAAGTAAAGAGTAAAAATAAATTCAGACAGAAGGCCAGAAGAGTCCCGTAAAACGAATTCTGGTTCAGCTTTCGCCATTAAATTCAACATTTCGTGCACCAACCACAGAAACACATACAGACAGAAGTAAAAACATTCTGCACTATCAACACAAACAACAAGAAGAAACAGAAGAGCCTCTCTGTTCCATGATATTACAAATGTACCAGTAAAAACGATTATAACAGAATAAGACAAAACAGAAAAAAATCAGGAAATCCAAACCCTGCCAGGAATCACCTTTTTCCTTCGTGTAGAAGCCCCAAAACAAGATAGGCCTTTCTTTGTTGTTGTTGTTTTTACTTTTTACTGTGAATGCCCATAAACATCAAATGCCGTTCATGACATCATTTCATCTACTTAACATCCAGGTTGTCCCGTCTCCGCAAATAAGAATCAATTTCACCCTTGATAACACGGAACTCCTCCTCATATTCTCGGCCTTCAAGCTGATACAGACGCAATTTTTCCTCAAGCTCTGCATAAAGTACTTTCACACGAGTCAATTCTCGACGCAATACTTTGAGTTCAATCTGATTGGAACGCTCTTCTTCAGAAAACCTAACATTACTGGAAATACTGCGCTTCCAACAGCTGTGCATATTTTCTATATAAGCACCAACCTCGCGCAATGAAGAAGTAGTTGAAAGACCCTGAGCCAAAGGTTTTTGAGAATCTAAACGAGGAAGAGTCTCTCGTCGTATCAACCGTGGAAATTCGCATTCCTCAATTTTTCTCCAATACATAACATCTGAATGATCGGCATCCGTAGATGTCTCGGTAATGAAGGCCTGCTGACCAAAAGACGTTTTTTCTCGAGTCATGGGAATTCTTTTTCGTGGTACAAATGGAGCTAAAATATGTTGAGTAACAGGATCATAAAACTTTGTGCGCCAATCCATCTGAGGAAATCGAGACATTAATCCACCAATCAACCGTGCTGTAGTCAAAAGAATCCCTTCATCCTCATTATTAAACGGAACGCTTCCACTGAATTTGTTCTCTACATGCACTACAGCTACAGCCATCTGCGAATTTTGGTCAGAAGCAAAAACTGGAAATATAAGAAGGCTTGAATTGGTCTTTGAACCATCTGAAATCTGCTGATTCAAGGCAATTCCACTAGCCAAAACGTCTGCATCCAAGGATCCCAAGCATTTGTGACGAACCAACTCAGGAGGAAAGGTAAGACGAGCGGCGCAGTTAGCAATAGATACCATTTCATCGTCTTTACGAACAAAAATATGGGCGGAAGTGGCCTTCAATAATCTCGTTGAACCTTCCAAAATATTATATAATGAGCACGCCAAACAACGCGAAACCTCTTTTGAGACGGCTAGCTGTCCCTGAGGAGGTTTTTCTCTTGGAACTGGAAATACGCTGATACTAGAGGGTTTAGTAACTGTTGGTTTTTGTGGCAAGGTCAAAGAACAAGATATCAATGATTTTCTCACTTGTGGAGTTAATTTAGGTAAACCATCGGCCCGCTTAAAACGGTCCTTTTCACCAGAATTTTTGCTTAAGTTCGGTTTCCTCCCAGCACATGCAGTCTCTATGATGTCCACCGCCCGGCGTATTCGAACAGTCAAAGGCACTACTTGATCAGGACGTAGCCCTTGTTCCGTATTTGAAAGTGTATCAAGAATAACAGCTACAAGCCTTAGCTCATCTAATTGCTCATCAACCTCATTCATCCTATTTCAAATAATAAATATGAGGCCTCCCTTGGGCCTCGTTTCCTTTTTTTTTTTTTTTGCTCTTGTTTTGCCTTCCAAACTAGTAAAAAAGAAGAGCACACAGATAAATAAAAGTAAAGCAAACTGAATTCCAAAACAACAACAAAAAAAAAAGATTATATTTTATTATATGCACATAAAGGCAAATAAATAAGCATAATATATCAAAATCATGGTGAAAGCAGAAACAAAAAAGTGCCTATTTATACACCGTGGTGGCTTTAATCCATGCCAATCAAAAAACTGTTATAAAATTGCTCTAAAATACGCGTGTTCAATGCTCATTAAATAACCGAAAGAAGATACAAAAGGTTTTCTCCCTCCAAAAACGACGCACATGCAGAAATACGGGCATTTAATGGAAAGCAATTTTAATAACACCTGCACATGCCAAAAAATTCAACGCTATAACTAACAGAAAAAAGCTGGTTTGAATTGAGCCACAATAATTGTCATATTATCGCAACCAACCCCTTGTACCCTGGGGGCCAAACACTTATCCAACACCATTTCGCACACCAAACCAATATCACTATCTGTTTCCTTAAGACCCTTCTTAACAAGATCACAACATTCCTCATTAGAAAGAACATCCCACACTCCATCACAAGCAATAACTATAAATGCATCTTCGGAGGTCCATTTCACTCTATTCACCTCTGGTAAAGCTGTAACCATTTGTTCCTCCCAGGAAACTTTTGGATTTTCTTTGAAATCAAAGTCACCTATTGCCCGGCTAAGTGCAAGTGTACCATTGACCCGTTGACATTGAACAGTCCCACCAGCCTTTTCGACTCTCGCCTTCTCTGTAGCTACAGAAGGCTTGTGATCAGTACTCAAGGGAATAGCTCTATTTCCCCGAAATAATACCGCTCGACTATCACCGGCATTTGCACATACAATTTCACCCTGTGCAAGCAGTACACAAATTATCGCCGTCCCTCCTTCTGAACGAAGTGCAGGCATTTCAGAAAGCTTCCGGTCTAGAGATATAAAAGCCTTTTTAAACGCCTCATCGTATACGCCCTCGCGGTACTCTGGTGTGGCCATAAGTTCATCAAGAATATGTCCACTGCAATACTTCGCAATTTTATACCCATTATGTCCATCAAAGACTCCAAAAAACGCATGGTGTTTATCACCTTCAAGATTTAGCTGAGCCACGTGGGCATCCTCCATTGATTTGCGCCATCCTTGCATTCCACAACATCCGACACGCAAATGTGAGGTTTCAAAGGTACTTGTATGCTTCTCCGTAACAGGTTTGGATAGTGTCTCGCCCATTTTACTAATCCAATATAAAACTTTAAAAAGTTCAAAAAATATATTTGGAAAAGAAAAAAAAAAAAAAAAAAAAAAAAGATATGTATAAGAATAAACCAAAAAGATTAGCTTTAAAATAAACAAAAACATCAACAATTTTGAGCAAAAAAAAAAAAAAAAAAAAAAAGGAAACCACCTCCAAAAGCAATTTTTGGGTCACAAAATACATAACTCGGACTCAAGCAATAGATGTATGATCAATCTTCTTCTGAAAAGTCTTGCAATTCATGAAATCTGCCAAGAGCCCCTGAAAGCGTCGTTGACTGACCTCTGTCAGTTAACTTAGATGTAAAACCCACAAATACAGCTTGATCCTCTCTAGAAACAGTAACAAGAGGTTGTTGTTGGATAGCAGCATTATCAGGTGCTGGTTCAAAATACTGCCGGTCCTTTGCATGGGATAGCTCCACATAAAAAGGCGCCGTCTCGTGGCGAATACTGTCCGTGACAGTAACCCCATTAAAAAACGGATGCCGCAAAATTTCTTCAAATCCATAGCGTTCTTCTGGATCAGCAATTAAATGAGAAATTAAATCAACAGCTTCTGATGATAGTGCATCGGGCTCCTGAGGAAAGCCCAAATACTCTTTGAAACAAACTATTTTTTTGGCTGTCACATTTTTACTGTCACTAAAAAATGGTGGATAACCACACAGCATTTCATACAGAATAATTCCAACACTCCACCAATCACAAGAATAGGTATACCCACGCCCAAGTAAAACTTCAGGAGCAATATACGCGGGTGAACCAACAGTAGAAAAGAATATGGCCCTCCTTTCCTTTCGATCCTTAAAGCGAGATTGTGTATCTGCGCCATCATCAAATATTTCATCAAGATTTGAGCGGCAAAGAGTTTCCAACCACTCTGGGTCCCTTTTTGATAAA